CGTCTCTTAAGTTTCCATCGAAGGAAATGGAGTTTCGAGTACTTGATTCGAATAGTTTTTGGTAGCGTAGTTCCAGAAGAACCAGACACCACACGACAACGATTAATATTTGTAGGATTTCTTGTCGGATGTCTTATGTTTTCATCGGTTATATATTCATCTATAACTAAACATCAACTGGAACAGAATTCATCATTTAAGTATGAAACTTTTCAAGATATTTTATCATCTGATTTGGAGATCCTGATTGAGGAAAATTATTTTTTGTTGATTAACAATACTGATGACGTTATTCTGCAACAAATTTTAAGTAAATCTGTACCATTGATATTCTCTGAAGGTGAATGCTTGGAACGTTTATTAAAATACAAGAATAACACATGTTTTTTTGAAGTTGCAACTGCAGAGATGATGCTTCGAAATAAAAGAGATAAATGCGGAGGACCGCTTGTTAAAATTTTTACTGAAAAATTTCCATCTGCTCCTGGTGCAACGTTACTTGGTGCTGGTGTACCATACGCGAAACGTTTCGATCAAGTGTTGCAGAGGTTAATCGAATCTGGAATTAGTACGCAGTGGATGAAATCCTATTCTATGAGAAAGGATGGTTTTGCTAAAATTGACAACAGTTGTAGTTCTAAACATTCTGAATCGGCATTAGTAATGCAGCAAATGGTATTTATTTGTGTTACTGGATTTGGTTGGTCAGCGCTAATTTTTATTTTTGAGTCTATCATCTTCTGGAGAAAGAAATAATATAAATTCTACTAAGAGCAGCACAAGAAGCGGAAATTTATGATTTGGGTACAATTACTTTTGACATTATTTAGAATTCTTGTTTTATTACTTTCTCATAGAAGCATTGTATAATTTGAATTACTAAGTGCAAAAAAGCTTTCTTTTTCTAATGCAATTTCAATTGTTATATCTTATTTACATAGAATGAAATTTAGCCTTGTCAAAAAAGCATTTATATGTTATCAATTTTTTAGATAAAAAAGAATATGTGACGCTCCCCGATAAAAGGGACCTTATTTACTCTTGTCATAAGGTCCCTATTCTCGTGGAGCGTCACATATAGTGTTATAAATAGTTAATTTTAAAATCAATACAAAATTTCATTGATTAGTCGACAATAGACTAAAACTTTTTTCCTCACTAGTAGAAGCAAATATGTCAAAGAATAAAGTTTAGGAAATGTTTTCAAAATGAGCACTTTTTAGGAATGTATTTCCAAATTCGCCTCTTTGGTAGTAATTAGCAAGTTATATCAAAATGATTATAAAAATATTAATCTGCATTGGATTAATATTGCTCAACTGTGGGGAAATAGGGAGTGTTTATACAAAATGGGTCGTAGCTCTTAAGCAAAAAGTGATAAATGATCAAGAAATCTATCAGGTAGTTTTTTTCAAGGATGAGGAATCTGTTGCCATCTACCCGATACTTGAAGAAATACTTAAAGAATTATCGAGTAGTATTCCAGTTCGTAAGATTGTCTTAGAAGATTATTATAAACAAGCAAGCTCTGATATTATAATCTACAATCCTCGAATTTCGCTATTTGTTCTCATGAACACTGTAAGCAATAGCGAAATTAATGGATCATTTGATTTCTTGACCCGACTTTCAGAATCAAAACGTCGACCAAAATGTTTGCTGTTGCTTGCCAAGAGACTTCCAAATTATCGAGAATTTTTCGAAAGATTATGGAGTCAACAATTCCTGGATGTTACTGTTATTGAAATTGGAAAACCTGATACTGCTTTGAACCATGATAAAAGGGATTATAAGGTAATTCAGTACAATCCTTTTCTTGGCTTGATTACTAATGCTTCAGCATCTACGGAAACAATATGGTTTCCTAACAAACTAAAAAATCTACATGGTTATCCTCTTGTAGCAAGTTTGATTCACGTTCCACCTGATGTAATTGTTGAACAAAACTCATCTTCACGAAAAGTATCAGGATTGACAGTCAGAAAGCTTGAAATTTTAAAAGAAACAGTGAATTTCACTCTTTTGGTATCGTCAATTAAACAGTGGGGAAAATTGACATGCACGAATGCAAAAGGTTCTGGCGCTATTGAAGCTGTTTTTAATAATGAGATTCAAATTCTCGGTTTGGAAAGTCAGATAAGGCTTTGTTCTGGAAAAGGTGTTGAGTTCAGCAAAGGTTTCCGTACAATTGAATTCGGAATATTTGTGCCTATTGTTAAAGACGATGTCAAGCGTTTTTACCTTCAATGGGATGTCTCAAGTATTATAATAGCTTTGCTTTTACCAATCTTCCTTTGGATTGTTACTCGAATTTTAGATTTTCGACGAAATAATTGGAGATTCGAGTATATAATTCGATTAATGCTTGGCTCAAATGTCCAGGTGGAACTAGATAGATCATCTGAGAGATTTTTCTTTTTGTCAATCGCAATTGGATGTTTTATATTCTCTTCTGATGTAATATCATCAATTCTCAAAGTACAACTTGAAAACAAGTCAGTTTACAAGTATGAAACATTAGAAGATGTTGCTTCCTCTGATTTGTTAATATTAATTGAAAAAAATTACGTAAATTTTTTTAAAGACAGTAAGGATTCTACAATGGAAAGAATTTTGAACAAATCTGTGCAAGCTAATTTTACAGATCAGGAATGCTTAGAACTTTTACTAAAGTACAAGAACGTCACATGTTTTTTTGAAGTTGCAACTGCAGAGATGATGCTTCGAAATAAAAGAGATAAATGTGAAGGACCGCTTATCAAAATTTTTACTGAGAAACTTCCGTTGGCTCCAGGTGCAACAATACTCGGTGCCGGTGTGCCTTACGCAAAACGTTTTGATCAAGTGTTGCAGAGTGTAATCGAATCCGGAATTAGTAAGCAGTGGATGAAAGATTATTCCATGAGGAAAGAAGGTTTTGTCCAAACTGGCAAGTCTTGCAGATCTGGAGATTCCAAATCGTTTTCAAAGATAAACCATATATTACCAATTTTGGTTTTTGGGCTCGGACTGTCAATTCTTGTATTTATTTTGGAATTAATTATCCAGAAGATATTGGAGATTATATCGACCTTGTAGACATCATTATTCTTCGGTAGTAGTTACTAAATTGTATCAGAATTTACTGTGTCTAAAAGAAAATATGATAAATGATCAACACATCTATCAGGTAGTTTTCTAACCCTGAGAAGTCAATAGAAACACAGGCTTTCAACAAATTACTATTTTCCATATAAGCCTTAGAAAGAAGAGTGTATGCATTATCAAACTTACATATCACAGAAAAGTAATTGGATTTTAGTAATTTATTAATTAATCAATGAAGAAAGAAGTAACTAACTAATATATATTACCTACATGTCACAATTTTTTCTTCAGTTGAGTTAAATACGACAAAGGATAAAGTCGCACTGACTGCACTTGTTTGGATAACTATTATTTAGAATTTTTGACTCAGAAATTTCCAATACTTTTTGGAGCAACGTTACTTGGTGCTGGTGTGCATTACGCAAACAGTTTTGATCAAGTTTTGCAGAAGCTATTCGACTCTGGAATTAGTGAGCTGTGGATGAAACCATATTCTCAAGAAGATGATCACTTTGTCCATATTGACAAATCTTGCAGTTATAGAAATTTTAAATCGACATTACCGATTCACCACATGGTTTCTATTGCTATTACAGGATTTGGATTTTTGATTCTTACCTTAATTTTGGAGTTAGTTGTGCATTGTGTATTAAAAAATTTAACAAGGTTTTTCAAAAATAGACGTTAGAGAAGCATAAATGAATCCAAACAGGAAACTTTCAAGACTTTTTTTATCTTTTTACTTATCATTTAGAATTATTGTATTTGTTTCCAGAAAGTTAAAAAGTAAAATCGATTTTCTTTAATTTGTTGGACACATCTAATACTAACAAATAAATACTCTTATTATATCCTGTTATTTGTTATGAAATGAGTATATTTTGTACACTTTAACTATCAAATTGAATGTTTCATATTTGTTGAACGAAGTAAAAAAGAACAATCGATTCACCTTTATTTGCTGACCGTATTTCCTTGGCTTTTTACTGTTACTACATTGGATGGTTTCTAGAAATGTGTTGAAACATTATTTTGAACGTTACCATTGTTTGTACGTAGCTTGTATTTAAAATGTTCACAAAATTGGTAATAAGTATTGGATTATTAATTTTTATCACTCTAGTAATAAGAGGACATGAGATAAGATGGATACAAGATTTTGCTAAGAGTATTAAAACTGATAAACAAATTTATCAAGTTATATTCGTAGTGAGTGATGAGAAATCTCTTGCTTTTAATCCAATCTTCCACGATGTGATTAAGAAATTATCGAGTAGTTTTCCAGTTCACAACATCGTCCTTTCGAAATTTACTGTATCCTTAAAGTCAGCTATCAAAAGATACAATCCTCTAATATCTCTATTTGTTCTTATGAATTCAGAAAGAAGTAAGCAAATTACAGATTCACTGGATTTTGTGAGCCGACTTTCAGAATCGAAACGTAGACTAAAATGTTTGTTTATACTTGGCAAAGAACTCCCAAATTATCAAAAAATTTTCGAGAAAATCTGGAGAGAACAATTTCTGGATATTACTATTATCATAGTTGAAATTTCGGATAATAATACAAAAGCTCTTTCTGACAATAATAAGGTATTGTACTATAACCCTTTTGTAAGGTCAATTATTAATGATACTGTATCTTCTAAGACAGTGTGGTTTCCCGACAAACTTAAAAATCTACATAAGTATCCAGTGATTGCAACTTTAATTCCCGCTCATCCAGACGTATTCATTCAACAAAGTCTAGCAGATCCTTTATCTGGATTGTCCATAAAAAAATAGAAAGTTTGAGAGACGTTTTAAATTTTAGTTTTTTGACATCGTCAATAAATAATTGGAGATCATTAAGTTGTACTAATGCAGAAGGTCCTGGTGCTATTGAAGCTCTATTTTAAAACGATGTCCAGATCATGGGTTTGGAAAGAGGTATAACACTTTGTGATGGTAAGGGCATTGAGTTCAGCAAAGGTTTACGTACAATGGACTTAGCACTGATGGTGCCTGTTATTAAAAACGAAATAGAGTCTGTTAAAACCGAGTGGCAAAATGGAAGTATAATATCAGTTTTGATTGTACCCATTTTCATGTGGCTTATTTCCCGTCTCTTAAGTTTCCATCGAAGGAAATGGAGTTTCGAGTACTTGATTCGAATAGTTTTTGGTAGCGTAGTTCCAGAAGAACCAGACACCACACGACAACGATTAATATTTGTAGGATTTCTTGTCGGATGTCTTATGTTTTCATCGGTTATATATTCATCTATAACTAAACATCAACTGGAATAGAATTCATCATTTAAGTATGAAACTTTTCAAGATATTTTATCATCTGATTTGGAGATCCTGATTGAGGAAAATTATTTTTTGTTGATTAACAATACTGATGACGTTATTCTGCAACAAATTTTAAGTAAATCTGTACCATTGATATTCTCTGAAGGTGAATGCTTGGAACGTTTATTAAAATACAAGAATAACACATGTTTTTTTGAAGTTGCAACTGCAGAACTGATGCTTCGAAATAAAAGAGATTAATGTGGAGGACCGCTTGTTAAAATTATTACTGAAAAATTTCCATCTGCTCCTGGTGCAACGTTACTTGGTGCTGGTGTACCTTACGCGAAGCGTTTTGATCAAGTGTTGCAGAGGTTAATCGAATCTGGAATTAGTACGCAGTGGATGAAATCCTATTCTATGAGAAAGGATGGTTTTGCTAAAATTGATAACAGTTGTAGTTCTAAGCATTCTGAATCTGCATTAGTAATGCAGCAAATGGTATTTATTTGTGTTACTGGATTTGGTTGGTCAGCGCTAATTTTTATTTTTGAGTCTATCATCGTCTGGAGAAAGAAATAATATAAATTCTACTAAGAGCAGCACAAGAAGCGGAAATTTATGATTTGGGTACAATTACTTCTGAAATTATTTAGAATTTTTTTTTTTATTACTTTCCCACAGAAGCATTGTATAATTTGAATTGCTAAGTGCAAAAAAACTTTCTTTTTCTAATGCAATTTCAATTGTTATATCTTATCTACATATCATGAAATTTAGCCTTGGCAGAAAAGCATTTATATGTTATCAATTTTTTAGATAAAAAAGAATATAGTGTTATAAATAGTTAATTTTAAAATCAATAAAAAATTTCATCGATTAGTCTACAATAGACTAAAACTTTTTTCCTCACTGGTAGAATCAAATATGTCAAACAATAAAGTTTAGGAAATGTTTTCAAAATAAACACTTTTTAGGTATATATTTCCAAATTCGCTTCTGTGGTAGTAATTAACAAGTTATATCAAAATGATTATAAAAATAGTAATCTGCATTGGATTAATATTGCTCAATTGTGGGGAAATAGAGATTGTTTATACGAAATGGGTCGTAGCTCTTAAGCAAAAAGTGATAAATGATCAAGAAATCTATCAGGTAGTTTTTTTCAAGGATGAGGAATCTGTTGCCATCTACCCGATACTTGGAGAAATACTTAAAGAATTATCGAGTAGTATTCCAGTTCGTAAGATTATCTTAGAAGATTATTATAAACAAGCAAGCTCTGATTTTATAATCTACAATCCTCGAATTTCGCTATTTGTCCTTATGAACACTGTAAGCAATAGCGAAATTAATGGATCATTTGATTTCTTGACCCGACTTTCAGAATCAAAACGTCGACCAAAATGTTTGCTGTTGCTTGCCAAGAGACTTCCAAATTATCGAGAATTTTTCGAAAGAGTATGGAGTCAACAATTTTTGGATGTTACTGTTATGGAAATAGGAAAACCTGATACTGCTTTGAACCATGATAAAAGGGATTATAAGATAATTCAGTACAATCCTTTTCTGAATATAATTAGTAATGCTACAGCATCTACGGAAACAATATGGTTTCCTAACAAACTAATAAAAAATCTACATGGTTATCCTCTGATTTGCTAATATTAATTGAAAAAAATTACGTAGATTTTCTTAAATGCAGTGAGGATTCTACAATGGAAAAAATTTTAAAGAAATCTGTGCAAGCTGATTTAACAGATGAGGTTTGCATAGAACTTTTATTAAAGTACAAGAACGTCACCTGTCTTTTTGAAGTTGCCGCTGCAGAGTTTATGCTTCGAAATAAGAGAGATAAATGTGGAGGACCACTTGTCAAAATTTTTACTGAGAAAATCCTGTCTGCTCCTGGTGCAACAGTACTCGGTGCCGGTGTACCTTACGCAAAACGTTTTGATCAAGTGTTGCAGAATGTAATCGAATCCGGAATTAGTAAGCAGTGGATGAAAGATTATTATATGAGAAAAGAAGGTTTTGTCCAAACTGGCAAGTCTTGCAGATCTGGAGATTCCGAATCGTCTTCAAAGATAAACCATATATTGCCAATTTTGGTTTTTGGACTCGGACTGTCAATTCTTGTATTTTTTTTGGAATTAATTATCCAGAAGATATTGGAGACTGTAACGATCTTGTAGGCATCATTATTCTTCGGTAGTAGTTACTAATTTGTATCAGAATTTACTGTGTCCAAAAGAAAATATGATAAATGATCATCAGGTAGTTTTCTAACCCTGGGAAGTCAATAGAAACACAAGCTTTTAACTGACTAATATATATTACATGTCACAATTTTTCTTCAGTTGAGTTAAATACGACAAAGGATAAAGTCGCATTGACTGCACCTGTTTGGACAACTATTATTTAGAAAACGATTTCTACACTTCGTCTGTCAGGTAGTATTCATTATGGATAAATCTGTCGAGAATTCTGTTCCCTACAATGCAAGCTTTAAAGAGATACTTAGTAAATTATCCAGTAGTTTTACAATTCACACGATTGTCTTATTATTATCGAAATTAGACTTAACTTCTTTGGACAACGCTGAAGAAGATTAAAAGGTAATTCAGTACAACACTTTTCTTAATTTTATTACTAATGCTTCAGCCTAATTGAAAATAATTTGCTTTCTCAACTTACTTGAAAATGTATTCTGCTATTCGCCAAAGTCAAGTTTGCTTCACGCTTTTCCAGGCTTATTTATCCTGAAGAATACAACAGAAATGGTATCTGGATTTTTAATAAAAAAATTGGAAAGTTTTAAATTTCACGAATATGTCCCCTAATAATGATAGGGAAATATTTAAATGCACGAAAAAAAGTAGTACAGGGATCGTCAAAGATCTCTTAACTAACAAAATTTAGATGGTTGGAATGAAATTATGGGTTGGATTTTGTTCACGAAAAAGCAATGAGATAAGTAAAGGTTTACCAGAACTTCCATTTGGATTGATCGCACCACTTGTCACTAAGAATGCAAAGCCTTCAATATTAGCGTGGCAAGCACCAAGTATGCATTTGCTAATGCTTCATCTCTTGTTCATTTGAATTGTTTCTCGACTTATGCACTTTAATAGAAACAAATTGAAACTTGCCTATATGATGCGAATTAATTTAGGAGCATCTGTTCCGGAAGAACCAGAAAGAACATCAGAAAGATTAATGTTTCTAGCATTTGTTCTAGCATGATTAATGTTCTCTTCGGACATTTACACATCAATAACGAGTGTTCAACTGCAAGGAAGAGCAAAAGTCAAATACGAAAATTTGGAAGATGTTGACCCCTTGAATTTACTGATAGTGGTTAATAAAAATCAATTTTCATCAATGCAGAGCGCATCTATTCCGTTTATACGAAAAATTGCATGGAAAACCAATTTGACGAATATAACATAGGAGAAATGCTTCTATTAAAGTACAAAAGGAGTTCTAACAAAAGTTCCAAATTATCGACAATTTTTCAATAAACTCTGGATTGATTAATTCCTTCATATGACTGGTGTCGAAATTAGAAACGTTGAAACTGCTTTTGACGACGGTGAAAAAAAGAACAAGGTAATTCAGTACAACCCTTTTCTTAATTTGATTATTAATTTATGCTTGATATTAGTGTACTTTACGCAAAACTTTTTGATCATGTGTTGCAGAAGCTAATCGATTTCGGAATTAGCAAGTAGAAAATGGAACCCTATTCTATAAGGAAAGATGGTGTTCTTCAAATTGACAAGTCTTGAAGTTCTAGTAATTCCATTTCGACTTCAGTTAAGCTACAAACATTGACAATTTTTGCTTTTGGTCTCGGAATATCAATTGTTACATTTATTTTTTAGTTAATCGTATACACAGTGTTGAATAGATAGAGTAAATTTTACTAAAAAATATAATTACCGATGGGGAAATTAATTAAACTTGTTTCAAACGCTATCGGTTGTTCCCTCCGTCTTTAAATTTTATTAATTCTGTAAGAAGTAGGGATACCCCACCCTAAAAGGTCCTATCAACCAGCGCGATGCGAAGATGATAAGACAGTCTGTGACGAAACACTGTGTGAAACCAATCTAAAATATATTATAATAAACTTTTATTTTACCTGACTAAATCTTATTTTATTTATTTATTTATTCCCTTACAATTCCTATAAAGAAAAGTCCTGTAAATTTGCTGTTGACAAATTATTGTATTAACATTCAATATACTTAAGTACATTGCTAATTTTTAAGTGTCTTAAAAAAAAGATATAAAATTTTCCTCCTTTTTTCTACCTTCATACTTTTGAATTTTTACTTATTTTTATTATGTTCTGAATCTATAAAACTTACTATATAGAAAATTAGTTTCTATAATTCTTTTGCAATTGTCTCCTTGATTTTGCCTAAAAGGTTTCATATTTTACTAAGCTTTTAGACAAATTGGAATATAATTTTTTAAGTGATTCATTTTAAAATCGATACAAAGTGATATCGATTTATCATTAATAGACTAAAACTTTTTGCTTTAGGAATAGAGTTGAATAAGTCAGAGGGTAAGGTGGCAGTGTTTTTTACTTCCTTAGAACACTAGTAGATTTTGCGCAAAATATTAAATCGATTTGTTACTCTAAAAACAACAATACAGAACTTCTTAAATTCCTATTGTAGAATTATTCAAAACCGATATCATGTCGAAATCATCAAATAAAAATATTTCTAATCTAATAAAAATGTTCCTAATGTTGGTAATCAGTACAGGATTAATACTCTTTAACATTGCGGTAATGGGTTGTAGTGATGTTCAGTGGATTAATAGTCTTAAAGAAAGTGTAGACAACGATGGACTCATCTATCAGGTAGTATTTTTGATTGACAAGAAACCTGTTACTAAATATCCGATATTTGAAGAGATGTTTAAGAAATTATCAAGTACTATTCCAGTTCACAACATTATCTTACCTAATTATGATGAACCAACAAAGTCAGATTTTTCTACCTACAATCCTCGAATTTCTTTATTTGTACTCACGAATTTTGAAAACAGTAGCGAAATTACTCGATCATTTGATTTCTTGACCCGACTTTCAGAATCAAAACGTCGACCAAAATGTTTGCTTGTGCTTGGCAAAGAACTCCCAAATTATCAAAAAATTTTCAAGAAAGTTTGGAGCGACCAATTTTTGGAAGTTACTATTATCATAATTGGAGGTTTTGATGATTCTAAAAGAGATCTTTCTGACAACAGTAAGGTATTGTATTACAACCCTTTTTTAGGGGTAGTTATTAATAATACAGTATCTTCTAAGACAATTTGGTTTCCCGACAAACTTAAAAATCTACATAAGTATCCAGTGATTGCAACTTTAATTCCCGCTCCTCCAGACGTCTTCATTCAACAAAATCCATCAGATCCTTTATCTGGATTGGCCATAAAAAAAATAGAAAGTTTGAGAGACGTATTAAATTTTACTTTTTTGACATCGTCAATAAATAATTGGGGATCATTAAGTTGTACTAATGCAAAAGGTCCTGGTGCTATTGAAGCTCTATTTAATAACGATGTCCAGATCATGGGTTTGGAA